TCGACATGGACAGAAGAAAGCCACAATCAACTTAGATGTGTGTCTAGTTATCGTATAAATAAGATTTTTAAGGGACTGAAGAACAGTAAGAGGAGAGAAGAGGGACCAAGCGTACAACCTAAGTAACATTAGAAAAATGTAGAATCAAAGTGTTCACACCGTGTCAGTCACACACGGTCACAAAATCCACTTTTCTGTAAGCGCAAAGCACAGTATCTGTGAGAGTGCTTCCCTGCAGATTTTACAGCCACGCGTCAAAACGAGACGTAATCCACGGATAACGCAGCATCCGACATAATTTTTCCGAGCAGTCTGATGAGAAGAAAGCACAAACAGGCCACTCATGCTCTCTGCTAGCAAAGACTAAATGTTTTGCTTTGACCATCGCATAATGAAGTAACTAAACAATAAAAAGTTCCTACGAGCTCTAGTCTGAAAGACAAGACAGACCAACAGCATCCAGTTAAGTCCTCACTGACTAACAAGTCAACGTTTGTCAGCCTCGAGCCTTACGAACTCCTAAATCCTGTAAGCGATATATCTTTTCACAAAAAGCATTGAGCAGGCATACATAGCACGTGCCCATACCAGCACAACTAATTCCATGTTAATGGTTGCTCTAAGTAGGTAACCTGATCATGCGTGTCCGGTGGTCACCCACGCACAGCATCGCTGTGGGCACGTTAGTCTCATTCGACACCACATATGCTTAGTAGGCAACGATGGTCAAAAAATGGTAGGCACTTTGTAGGCACTTTGTCTGACAGAAAGAGCCAAGTTTCACTCAGGTGAAGGTGGAGGTCTGCTCCTCTACGTCTTCAAGGGTGGTTGCACCCACACTGATCAAGTAATCATCCCACTGTGCTATTATCTGAGGCGTTGTGGACAGGGGAAAGGAATTCCACAGTTAAACACCGCTACTGATGCACCGTCAATGTCAAGCTGTAGTAGTGACGGGTGAGCGTGCCTAGCATACACACATACATGTGCTGGTTGAGCTTGGTAATCTGTGCTACGCACTGATTAGGTGGCCCCACTGGGGAGACGAAAAGTTTGCAACCTGATTGCAAGTACATGAAAACTTGTACAGTGAATCCGAGTAACCAGAATTGTGAGTACTTTTTTATGCTTACGGCAGTAAGATGAGAGAGCTTCTGCGTCTCATCAACAGAAGCAACAGTATAAGCAACCCAAACCAAAATGTGAAGTAACCTAAGCAGTCCGTATTGATGGAAAGTACTAAGTCGAACCTAGTAATGAAGCCAATGACATTGGCAATGAGTATATATGCGCTGTAACTTTTCATATCGGATACGTTTTAAAGAACGTGTCGAAAGTGGAGGGACCAGGTAGACAGCCATCTGACTGACTAGTATCCCTCGATCATCGTCGTGCCTCTTAGCAATGCGCTGGGCCCATTTTGCTCCTGATCCATAGAAGCGATGTGCCTCAACTTGTCCGTTAGCTTTGAGCGTTGTTTGCAGATGACTTGAAGCTGTGGAGAGTAATCCACACACCCAATAACCGTGAGATGCTTCAACGAGACCTCGACTACCTCTCCATGTAGACTGCAGAGATCAAACTTCCGCTCAACGCGGTCAAGTCGAATTTCATGAGGCTGAGTAATTGTGAGCACAATGGAACCTACGCCTTAGTCGGTTAATCGTTACGTTCCACGCCTTCCGTGCGAGGCCTCGATCCACTCTGTCGCTACGACTTAAAGCCCGTGGACAACACGATTAAGCTTTACCAAAACGGCCTTTGAATGCTTTGGGCGCTCAGAAGCAGCTTCAACACTTGGTCCAAAAAGGTTGCCAATCGCCTGTTCGTCTCAATAATACGACCAATGCCAGAGTATGGCTCTCCCGCATATTGTCCTATCACCCGGGGCGAGGTAGAAAAGATTGAGCGAGTGCAGCATGTGGTCACCAGGGTGATTCCCGATTTAGGAAGTGTGCCGTACGAAGACCGGTGTAAGAAACTAGGGCTTTACACCCTAGCTTACCATCGACTGCGAGTCGACCTCATCATGACGTACCGAAAAGTACATCCCGGTGATTACCCCATGTTGAGGCCGCTGCTTCATTTGCGCACACCAAACAACACACGAGGACACATGTACAAGCCTGTAGTACCGAATTTGAAGCGGTTTGCCCACCAACTCTGTTATGAACGGAGAGTCGTGGATGTATGGAACAACCTGGCGCAGCAGATAGTAGATTCACAGTCGATGTCGGAATTCAGGAAACTACTGGACATACACATTACCTAGATACGATATATCGAGTGCACGCCAACATAACCGGTCTTTGTATCTGAGTGCTACTAGATGTAGTTACACAGCGATATCACTGCTTGCTGATTCCAACTAATAAGCAGTAAACAGTATGGTTTTAATGCGGCAGGCGATCACAGCGTAGTGTTAGAGTTCCAAGAGGAAACTAATAATAAATCCATGGTATTTCGTAGGACTAGTTTGGCGGGTAAGGGTTAGTAACAAAATTTACGCGGCTGCGTGCGCGTCCAACCGATATTCACAAATGGCTAGTGTCGGCGTAGAAATGACCAATCCAGGTGACATGTGCGTTTAGAGCCTGTAAGAGTGGCCACTCTAGTGCCGTACGGAGAACATCTTGTATTTTCTCAGGTTGATTTTGCTTTGACCACTTATGAACCACACCTGTCACACAAAAGCAAACGTTGTTCCGCATTTATCTGAATCCAACGACATACGCTGAAATCGTCGGCAAATAGTAGAACGGGTTGCTGCGTAATGTCATTAACAAATGCGGAAAACAGTCGTGGAACCAGAACTGAGCTATGCTGCATACCACACTCATCATGTTAGGCCTAACATAAGGAGCTTTGAAATCTAACCAGTAAATACCGTTGAAGGAGAAACTTGGAGATCCAACTTAAGGGAGGTTTATTAAGGTTGCAACACCGGGGAATGAAAAATAGAATCCACTATACTAAACGGTCGAATAAATTCAAATAATCTACGTAGATCAGGACCGTTTCATTTTTAGCGTCAGGTGACACGATTCAACTGCTCCGCGTTACTAGTAAATTTACTATGCACGATCGCTGTGGACGGCAGCTGTGCGGCTCGGGAGCAATACTGTTATTATTTTAAGCTTCCACATGATCGGAACCTGGCTCTGGTCTAAACAGCGTTGAAAGAAATACCATTGTCTTGCTACTTCCCTTAGTGCTTTCGGGCGAATAGTACCAACATTGTGGTTGCGCGGTGACGTCAGCTTTTTCAAGACAGATTCCTCAGTAGAAGAATATAACTGGGTATCTGTTTCGTGGTAACAAGAGCTAGAAGATGGCCTGATGCGGAGGCGTGTTTCATCCGAAACGCGTTTGCAACTGCTTTAGCCTTATTCTTGGGATATCAGACGTCCGAGGCGGAGAAGATCACCGTCTCATAAATAATGTGACTGTACAACAGTTTACGGTTAGCACGGAGCATTTTTACGATGTTCTGCCGATATACGACTTCATTCTCTGAGCCGTTGAGTGTATTGCTTATGCTATGCTACGCCGACGTTCCAAATACTTAGCGTTGGAGATTATCTATACTATCGCCATGCTGCGTTGCATACCAACATCCATTTTTGGGTACTACTCCATACGAAAGAAACGATTTTATGCCCATACCAAACCCTTGTCACTGAGGTATGCTTAATCAGTTTATTAAATTTTCAGACACATTCGTTCTAAACGACTTCCAGGAGGTCTTTGACACTGCATGATCAGGTTGTGGCATTTACTAGATGGGCTAAACGGCCGTACCCTTGAGTGACTCGCATTATCTTAGGGTACTCTTTTTGGTATTTGTATAGCAAAGTGAGTTGAAACTAAGCATCATATGACCACTACTGCTTAAAGAACAGCCTACAACAACTAAATAAATCATATATTCCTCCTTGGTAAACCCAAGGTCCAACACAGAAATTCTGTTACCAGTTCTGAAAAGAGTAGGTAATATGTGGTGTCTATAAGGAGGAAAATTACTTAAAAAGGTGTTAGAACTGTAGGAACTTGATCGATCACACTTTTCGCGTTGTTATGAGTAACGCTCTACCACCAGTGCCCCGGGCTATTTTCACCTGACTTTCTACGATAGTTGGATGTGATATGGGCGATGGTCCCTTTGTCCATCGTCGTTTTAGGGAAGCAACTTGGGCGCCATTACCCTGCACTTTCGTAGCACTGCCCGTTTCCAAAGTGCTATTTCAGCATTTGCTCATTGTACAATTTCTATTCATAACCGGTCATACTGCTGGACTAGGATAGGTATGTACTTGAACATTAGGATGGTCAAACACGCTGGGCAAAACCGGAAGCCTTGAGATTCATACCGATCTCTCAAGGCTTGCTGTGAAAATGTCGCGCACTTGGGATGGAGCCGAGTAAGCCAGTGCAAACAAGCTAACCAAACTTGACTAATTGATTAGGTTTGCCTGACCCGCAAGCATCCTTCGCTTAAGCAGGCGTAGAGGGAAGTCTGGCTTAGCTTCCATACAACTTCGCTTTCCGGGTCACTGAAACAGAAACACGACAAAAGCTGAAAACAATAGGCTAGATGAAGCAGGTTGATGTTGCATGTTGCTTGCTCAAAATCATTACGTTTCACGATGCTGTTCGGTTTCTACGAGTAAATAATGCAGACATCAAACCAGGGACCATTGGGAGGTTAGCGATCGAACGCACACACACACACAACGTATATATCAAAATGATCTTCAGGGAGTGGATTCAGCGTCGGTAAAGTTGCCGTCTTAGGCTAGTTCGTTAGGATTCACCGAATCACTGTGCTCTACACGCACATGCGTGCAAATTCTACTAGGATTTGCATTCAGGTTGCCGTGCTTATCGGATAATACTTAGGTGAGAGAAGCGAGAATGGTTCGTATGACATAATGGAGAGATCTTTAAGCGGAATAAGCTCAAATAAACAAGTAGGATATTAAGAAACATGCTTGACAGACCTGATGGGAAAATTCAGCTTCCAATACTGCCTCTTGATGCCAAATGGTCACCGGCTGATCAGACCGCGAAGCTTGGGGTTGCTCAGTTCCTGAATCTTCGGCTTTCAAGCTAGGAGAGAGAATTGATTCCGCAGCTAACTGCCGAAAGAAAACCCGACAGTCCCTTCCGAGGTTCTTTCCCAGGATAAACAGTTCATTGCCTCCACTGACACCGCAAGTGTGAAGCGAAATTCGGCTGATTTCTGGATCACCGAGTAACTGAGCTGAGAAGAAAGAGCGGGACAATGCCGAAATCAGTCAATATGTAAATAGGTACGTACTGGATACTGGAATTTCTTTTACAGGGGAAACCAACACAATATGTGACATTAAAAGAAGGATACAAAGGCAACGTACCCTTGGATAAAGCAACGACTTCTGGCGATCGAGGTGTAGCTTCGGTAAGGCTAGACGCCGCACAGTAACCAACAACGTACGTGGAAATGTAGCGAATGGATGCGTCCTCAATGTGGTTTAGCCTAGGCTAAGATCATGAGGCTTATTAGTGAACAAAATGAGTCGGTCTATATGGCACGATAAGTAAATGTGGGTGTTTGATGGGCATTTTAATTCAGGTGAAGACGTGAAACTCATCAAGAGTACATGTACCTGGAAATAACCTAACAGCTGGACTCAGCGAGTACTTCGAATGACCACGAGGCACACATGTGCGTGACATGGTACCCATCCTGGTGCTCGGATAGCGAAAGAGGGTACAGGACACCTGAATGCCATTTTTGGCATATACAAGATGGACGACGGCTGTAGCGTGCACAAGGCAACCTTGTGTAATAGAGAGTAGACGCCGATTTTGTCGATTATTTAACTTAATTACCGTAAAAAACATGTGCTTAACAGCTGTTCGGGACTCAAGGCAGCTCAAGGCCAGAGCAGTCAGCTGAAATTGGAGAAATAGACTCAACAAAATGCCCACGAACTGCAACAGTCGATCAGACTAGTACGACAGCACAAAGACCCGAAGGGAATTTAAATTCAATCGGGTAACTGTTCGCATGCTTGAACTTGGGGATCGTATGTCCGATTACTAGGCAAACGGTATTCAGAGCTACACAATCACCCAAACTTTAAAAGAAAACTATTACATTAGTTGTGACATGCGTCTTTTAAAACCACTAGTATCTACCGAGTGTGAAACTATTGCGGCCACCGAACTCGCGAGTAGTTTTTGAGTAAGCCACACAAAAGCAATTGGCTTGTCTTTTTGCAGCACAACTGCAAAAGCACGGGTACATAGAAAGAATGGGGACGTCGTCGCCAAACTAATTGACGGGACTAAAAGTGATGCATTTTTTCACCTGAAAAGCTCCTAAAAACAGGCCACGAAAACCTTAAGGTCTCCGTACTTGCCAATATTTCCTTCGCCATTTAGCTGGGGCTCTTTCATTAACGCGGGCAATGTGGCGAGGAAAGTGGTTGCTTGGTGTACTGCTTAGCAGTGTGACGCAGTAAACTAACGTAGTTACAAGGCTAGCGATAGCCAGTTGCATCAATCAAGACTAGTCTCGGCAGCACAGACGGAGAGTAACAAGGCACAGAAATGCGGCTTTGGAAAGCAATGACCGGATGGCAAAGGAATAGTTTAGAAATACCAGTCCATCGCTCTAGGAAGCAGTTTCTTGTAGCTCTTGTTTAAATATGCTACGTGCAACCGGCAGATTTCGGAGCGCAAGCCGAAAGTCTCAACAAACCGGTGAACTGCTTCTGAGGGTTATATAACAACATTAGTAACAGGGGCGTGAACGGTCCGTGGCGAATCTCTGGTAGTTTATTTGAAATTGAAGCCCAACATCAGCAAATATTATAATTGTCGCAATCAAAGCAAACGCCTCTTGGGACAATCTCGTAATCAATCTCCTTTTTACAAAACTAGCTGAGTATTGCCGCGAAAGCGTTACACTTGGGCAAAACAACTTAATTGCAGTGCCATATTTCCCGAAAAAGAGCGCGCCCGTCGTAGCGACAGTAGTGACAAAAGGCTTTTGGTAGATTCTGATCTGTGGAGTTCCATTAGTTGCTCAGATGATTTTAGTGAACCTAGGCAAAATGAAAGGGGAACGACTTTAAGTGAACAACAGATTTGCTGAACAGGACCAAAAATGTCGGCATCGTCAAATGAAAAGACTCATAGCTGGATATAAACCGCAGAATGCCGTAGCTATGCTAGCAGCTCAACGTACGCTTCTAACGAATAGTGTGATTACCGTGGTGATATTAATTTTACAATGCGGCTTGTAGTAATGCAAAATGTGTTCACCTGATCAGCATGTGACTACATCCATCCGAGTGTTGTATCGGCAAACGATAAGCTGTAATGAGGTATATGTGAGGTACCCGACATAGCCAGACCATGCACTTCAAGTTTAATACTGATTACTGTGTGTGGGAGCAAGTATAGATTTAATTTAGCACAAATTCCTTTCTAACTAATCAAAAAGCCTATAAAAATGACTGTAATCCGTGGTGATATAATGATTCCTCAAGCTCTTATGTAGCATTGTAAAAGATCTGTTTTACAGTTTTACTGCATACATAGACGCAAGATATCATTGTGAGTGTGCAATCGTTCGTTGAATCGAATGGCGGTAAAACTTAAATTCAACTAAGGTTTGAACTGCTATGCAGACTTGATCTCCACGAGTTGTTTTGACAACCTGATTCAAACATTTACCACGCTCCGTTCGAAGTACGAAGGTGGGTAATCGTTTTATATCCAGCACCACAAGCTTGTACCGGTGTTCGCATGTGTTGCGTCGCATTCGCAAGTGAATCAGCGATCTCAACATAAAGAAGTCACCGAGGTATAAGATACCGTAGGTCATGATGAGATCGACACGCACCCGACGATAGGATAGGGTGTACAGTCCTAGTTTCTCGAACAGGTCTTCGGACGAAAACCCTCGTAAACTTAGAATGAGCCTAGTAGTGACATGTTGGACCAGTTCGATTTGCTGTGCCTCGCCTCGAGTGATTGGACAGTAGTCAGGCGAGCGTAATTCAATACTTGTCTTATTATGGGAGAGAAGAGGCGAGTAGTGACCTCTTCAGACAAAGTACAGAAGCCGCTTTTGATTGCCCAAAGCATGCCAAGTCCAATACTGTGTAGTCTGTTCGTATGGTTCACGGACCTCGAAACGCAGGGCGATATTGCACCTAGGTCCTTCACTGAAGGTGTCGGACTAACCCATTTTCTGATGACGTCCTTTAGAGCTGCTTATTTATAATGTAACTTAAACTATAAACTTAAACTATACTTTTCGTGACTGAACTTTAAGAAAAAAACAGTCCTCACCAGTTTGAAGTCATTTTCCTCAAGCCATCTTAGCCTCAATTAATTTAATGCCCAACTTACCTTTCAGCATGTGTCCTTAAAAATGGACGCCAGCAGTAGATGAGGTGATGGTTGACCAACAGTGGTGTAAGTTCAACCGTCACCACCCTTCCCCTGGTTTGTAAAGACCGAGTTGGATGAGTTGACCAGGAGGCGGAATTCCGCAGACCGTATAGAGAGGCGGTTGAGTTTTTGCTGAAGTAGACTACAGTAGTCTGGGTTGCTAAGCCCTCTACAAATCTTCAGGTCACCCACAAACAGGGTACATGGCGACGGAAGAAGTTGAGGTAGATTTTTGAGGTGGATGCATAACAGAATGGGATCCCACATCCTGTCTTCTGATAATCCACTAGCATAAGGATACCGGACAAGCAGATGGCAGTCAAGCTGTACGCATCACTTTCTCCCTAGGAGGAAGTCATGGATCCACTGGTGCGGAGACCCAACATCACCGCACACTCCACTTATGGAGCAGGACCTTATGGTTTACCCTATCGAATGCTTTACTGAAATCGATGTAAATTACGTCGACAGACTTCCTCTAAGTTACTGCATGCAACCATTCATGTCTCATCATCAACAGCTCGGTAATGCATGAGCGACTTAGCATAAAACCGTACTGTGTGGGAGTCATTATGTGGCGCACTACTAGTGAATGGTATGTGTAGAAACGATGAGGCCAGGGATATAAGGGAAATGACAGGTCGCCTTTGACGAAGGATGTGCGGTACATATAACAGCCGAACGCAGGATACGTAGGGGAAAAATCCACCTCCACCGATACTTTACGAATTATGAGGTGCAGCCGAACGGCAAGTTGGTACGGTACTACGAGAGGAGTGGGTGAATTGGTCCTGAGTTTCTATATTCAAACTGTTCTAATACCTAGAAGTCGATTGCAAAATATATAACCCGTCTGCATCGTTTCGCGTCTTCAACATTTGGTGTTGCGGCCAGCCAGGAGTGGAACATGAAGATTTCGTGATCAAAGACATTTGAAGAAAGGGACGTAAGGAACTACGTGGAAGACTTCGAAGATGTCGCGGGTACAGTCTGAGTGAAGCAGAAGCCATCGAAGCTGGTTGCCTTTCAAAGTCTCCACAAAGGCAGAGCGAAGGCGATTCTGGATGCGGCGCGGATGGGCCCAGTGAAGTTGGAGTAGGCTGCCGCGAAAGAAGAGTAAATTGTTTGGTTCGATGTCCAGGATGCGGTGGGACGATCCACAGCGGCCAGCCTTGGAGGGAGAGCAGATCCGTCTGTTTTCGCTGTACATATTAATGACTTGCCGGAGCGAGCTCTCCCTAAGTTAGACGATGAGGCAAGACAGCAGCTGCTAGTGATGCAGTTTATGGACATTCTACCTCCGGTGATGACCGATCGACACCGGATTGTGTATGCTACGCAGAGAACGGGTGTGGAGGAGCTTGCTCGCATGTCAACAAATTTAACAAATTAGTAAGTTGCGGCATTAACAGCGGAGGACCAAAAAGCAGAGCAGCGATTGAACAGGACAGAGGATAGGCTGGAGAAGAGTACGCAAGACATCGGGGCATTTAAAATTCCCTGTAGGCAGACAGGGCCGAAGGGATGATACTTTCATTGCAGAAACTGGGACACTGGAAACAGCAATGTCCAGCAAAGCGTTGTGCATCCTATGTTCCAAATAAAAGTTAACACCGTATTGTTCTAGTAATAAGGCGTGCATACTCGGGGCGCTGAACAAAGGTCGGCAATTCGGGCCTCACTCGCGGAGTTTGAAAAAGCCGAACATCAAGGAAGCCGGAATTCTTATGTGAGGGCAAGGGCGAGACGCTACCTCGGTGCCGGTGATCCTCCGAAATTGAGGAAGAAGTTGGTGATCCCTTGTCACGATAT